AAAAAAGGAGAGAGGTCCCGTCGGATGGCCTCCACTTTAGATTTAAAAAAGGCTGCAAACAGATTCTTGATTTGCCAAATCCCTATTGATTCAGAAGTCCTCCTTTAGTTATAAACTATGGATTTCAGCCTCTGTTGTGAAGTAAAATCCAGAAAGATGCTTCTCAAAACAAAATGATTTGAATACTTTGTGTTAAATCAATATTGTAAGCATGGATGGAGTGAGAATGAAAGCACATGATTGAAATATTTATATTCTACACTTATCAGATAATCAGGATGTGTCAAAGTGGAAAAAATTAAATTGAGGTGAAGGATTTTTTAAATATATTTCTTAACTTTCAGTAGATCCTCTTGATCCCTATTTAACTTTTCTAGAAAGCAGAGAGGCAAAGTATACATATTGAAATTTTTAAAAATCCAGCACTTCGTAGAATTCTGTATGTACATGGTGCGCTGGCAAAATGTCTCTACTGAAAAGGAGGTATGCAGCTTTTAGATGTTCGATTTTTATTATGGCAAGGCTCTCAAATGAATCCAACTTCACAGCTTTCCTGTCCAACCTACGAAAAGAAAAAAAAATTAATGTTTATGATTGACTAAATATTACTATTATTGTCTTCACATTTCTCTTGCCCTTCCTCCAGCGAGCTCAAGGTGGCATACATGGTTCTCCATGCTGAATCCTCACAAGAAGTCTAAATAGCTATGACTTCCTAAAAAATCTACTCCTTGGAACAATAGGTTTGGAAAAAGATGTATGCAAATAGCAGCAGTGTTCCTCCACAAGTAAAAGGAACATGATTTGCTTTTGCAACATTTTGATTTTGGAGGTTGTAACCAATAAATGCAGTATATGAAACTGCCTTATTTTCTCAGTCCTCCATAACTTGTCGACTGCCCAAGGAATAGCTTTAAAACTCCTTACACATACATCTGTATTCAAGTATTTGAAATCTCGGTGGCTATTTCTGACTGAAACATGAGGGAATCTAGTGTAGCAAAATCATAATTGTTACGCTTTTTCCTTTGTACCAGATACACCACAGTACATAGTACAATAATATATCACTTTTTTGCCAAATAAAAGACAACATGAAAAGCATTTGGGGCAGCTACCACCAAGTCTTCCATATTATAGCACATGTTGAAAGTCACATAGTAGTACATTTACATAAATGTGAAGTTGCCTGTTTGCACTTGTAAAGGACTGCTGTTTCAGATCTCCACCCCTCATTTTCTTAGGTTCAGTTTGGTTCTGCCAACTTCACTGTAGTTTGTTCTTTCCCCATTATAGCTCTGACATTCTCTGTTCCTTCAAGAATCACAGATATAACTGAGGGAGGGACACTTTCCTTATTTTAATCTACGAGGGACAGAAAGGTATCTGAAGAGTGAATGTATATTTAATATACATACTTTGAGTCTGTAGACACTGTTAGCTGCTACTCTCTAGTGAGTGCAATGCATGCTAGGTAGCTGGTTTTACCAATAAGGAGAGGCTTCAAGCACACT